AGCCCCAGTATTGGTATTGCCTTCAGGTTCGGGGTCTTATATAGTTTATTGTAATGCGTCGCGAGTTGGCCTCGGCGCGGTGTTGATGCAGGACCGTAGGGTGATTGCCTACGCGTCCAGACAACTGAAGGTGCATGAAAAGAACTATCATGTCCACGACCTTGAGCTAGCAGCTATTGTTCATGCCTTGAAGATTTGGAGGCATTATTTGTACAGAGTTCCTTGTGAGATTTACACTGATCACCGGAGTTTACAACACCTGTTCAAGCAGAAGGATTTTAATTTGCGTCAAAGGAGGTGGCTAGAGCTGCTTAAGGATTATGACATCACCATTTTGTACCATCCCGGGAAGGCCAATGTGGTGGCCGATGCTTTGAGTCGTCGGGCAGAGAGTTTGGGGAGTTTAGCATATCTACTAGCAGCAGAGAGGCCTATGGCATTGGATGTTCAGGCCTTAGCCAGCCAGTTTGTGAGATTGGATATTTCTGAACCGAGTCTGGTATTGGCTTGTGTGGTCTCTCGGTCTTCTCTTTATGATCGTATCAGGGAGCGTCAGTATGATGACCCCCATCTGCTTATCCTTAAGGAGACGGCGATGCTAAGGAGGTCACTATTGGGGATGATGACGTATTGAGGATGCAGGGCAGGCTATGTGTGCTTAATGTTGATGGTTTGCGTGAGTTGATTCTTCAGGAGGCTCACAGTTTACGGTACTCTATTCATCCGGGTGCCGCAAATATGTATCAGGATTTGAAACAGCATTACTGGTGGAGGAGAATGAAGAAGAACATAGTAGAGTATGTGGCTCGATGTCTGAATTGCCAGCAAGTAAAATATGAGCATCAGCGACCAGGTGGATTGCTTCAGAAGTTAGAGATTCCGGAGTGGAAATGGGAGCNTATTCCGGAGTGGAAATGGGAGCGGATCACTATGGATTTCGTTGTTGGACTCCCACGGACTCAACGGAAGTTTGATGCAGTTTGGGTGATTGTAGACAGGCTGACCAAGTCAGCTCATTTCATTCCTGTGATGACTACCCATTCTTCCGAGCAGTTAGGCTAGAATTTATATCTGCGAGATCGTCAGGCTTAATGGCGTACCGGTATCTATCATCTCTGACCGAGGTACGCAGTTTACATCACGGTTCTGGAGGGCTGTACAACATGAGTTGAGTACGCGGGTTGAGATGAGCATAGCATTTCACCCTCAGACGGACGGACAGTCCGAGCGCACTATTCAGATACTGGAGGCTATGCTCCGCGCTTGTGTGATAGATTTTGGGGGTGCTTGGGATCAGTTTTTGCCACTTGCGTAGTTTACCTACAACAACAGTTATCAGGCCAGCATTCAGATGGCACCATATGAGGCTCTATATGGTAGGCGGTGTCGGTCCCCAGTGGGATGGTTTGAGCCGGGCGAGGCTAGATTATTGGGGACGGACTTGGTTCAGGATGCCTTGGAGAAGGTTAAAGTGATTCAAGATAGACTTCGCACAGCCCAGTCCAGACATAAGAGTTATGCGGACCGGAAGGTTCGTGATATTGCATTCATGGTTGGTGAGCGGGTCTTGTTTCGGGTTTCGCCCATGAAGGGTGTTATGAGGTTCGGAAAGAAGGGCAAGCTGAGCTCAAGGTTCATTGGTCCTTTTGAGGTGTTGCGGCGTGTTAGGGAGGTTGCTTATGAGCTTGCCTTACCTCCCAGTCTAGCAGGAGTTCATCCGGTATTTCATGTTTCGATGCTCCGGAAGTATTACGGCGATCCGTCTCATGTGTTGGATTTCAGCTCAGTCCAATTGGACAAGGATCTATCTTATGTTGAGGAGCCAATGGCTATTTTAGACAGGCAGGTCAGAAAGCTAAGGTCAAAGAACGTTGCTTCCGTGAAGGTTCAGTGGAGGGGACAGCCGGTCGAGGAGGCGACTTGGGAGACCGAACAGAAGATGCGCAATCGTTATCCTCACCTTTTCACCACTTCAGGTATGTCTTTATGCTCGTTCGAGGACGAACGATTGTTTTTAGAGTGGAAGGATGTAACGACCCGGCCGGTCGTTTGGAGAGTAATATCCCCGATCCCATATTTACTGTTTTCCCTGTATCTCTTTCTGCTTATGTGACTTGCCGGGAGGTTTTGTTTTTGGTTTCGGAGTGTGTTGGGACACTTAGTCCCTAAAACGGGAGCTTAAGTCTTAGGATTTTGACCGTAGTCGGAACTAGGTGAAGACGACTCCGGAATGGAGTTTCGTCGGTTCCATTAGCTCCGTTGGGTGATTTTGGACTTAGAAGCGAGTCCGGATTGTGTTTTGGAGGTCCGTAGCTTATTTAGGCTTGAAATGGCGAAAGTCGAATGGTAGTGGAAATTTTGATATCGGGGTCGGATTCCGATTCCGGAAGTTGGAGTAGGTCCGTAATGTTGATTATGACTTGTGTGCAAAATTTGAGGTCAATCGGACGTGGTTTGATAGGTTTCAGCATCGGTGGTAGAATTTTGAAGCTTCAAGTTCTTTAAGTTTGAATTGGAGGGTGATTCGTGATTTTAGTGTTGTTTGACGTGATTTGAGGGCTCGACTAAGTTTGTATGGTGATTTAGGTCTGGTTGGTATGTTTGGTTGAGGTCCCGGTGGCCTCGGGTGAGTTTTGGATGGTTATCAGATCATTTTTGGACTTGGAAGATTTTTTTGGTGCTGGTTCTGCTGTAATCGCACCTGCGCAAGGCTGCCCGCAGGTGCGAGCAAATTGACGCAGAAGCGGATTTGGGCAGCCTGAGCTGGGATCGCAGGTGCGAGGTTAGTTCCGCATCTGCGATGCCCGCAGGTGCGAGAGAGGAATCGCAGATGCGAAGTTAGACCGTAGAAGCGCAAAAGATTCCCGCAGGCGCGCACGCGCAGGTGCGGCCCTTTATAGCAGGTGCGGAGGCAAAGGGGAGGTAAGTGATTTGCGCATATGCGCACATTTTCCGCACAAGCGCACCCGCAGGTGCGAGCCCAGGCTCCGCAGGTGCGGAAATACCTGGGCAGTGCTTAAAACCGAAGGGCTCGTGATTTTTGTCATTTTGGACTTTGCAAACTCGATTTAGGGTAATATTTGAGAGATTTCTTGAGGTAAGTCCCTTGTGCTTATTTTTTATCAATAATCTTGCTTCCCCATTTATTTTTCCACCTAATTAGTGTGTATTTAAGGTGTAATATAGGAGTTTGAGACTAGGGATTTGGAAAGTTTGATTTGAGGATTTGAAGAACCATTTGGTGTCGGATTTTAGTAAATTTGATATGGCTAGACTCGTGAGTGAATGGGCTTTCGGATTTTGTGACTTTTGCCCGATTGCGAGACGTGGGCCCGGGTCGACCTTTTAGGACGGATTTCGGAATTTTTATCTAAATTTTGATTTCATTAATTAGATTAGTTTATTGTAATTGTATTTATGATATGTAATTGTTTTGGCTAGATTTGGGCCATTCGGAGT